TCACTGTTTGAATGCCCACTTTGTATGCTTAATTTTGTAAGTTGATCAACTATTTCTAAGATGACAGTATGTAATCTATTAACTAGTGATTTCTTACCTTTTTCTAAAATTATGTTATTACTTGTACCCTTTTACTGTTTGTTTTTTGCATTTTTTTTGTTTTGTTTTTTGTTTTTTTTTTTTGTTTTTTTTTTGTTGTTTTTCCTCTTTAAATAAAAAAAAAAAAAAAAAAAAAAAGAGGCTATCTTTCCTCCAGTGAACATGTTTGGTCCTTTTGTCAGTGATCAAATGGCTGCATGTATGTTGAGTTGTTACTGCTTGTTCTAATCTGTTGCACTGAGCCTCAGATCTGTTTTGTTGCCAGCAACATGTTGTTTTTACGATAATAGCTTTGTAGTTTAAGTTCAAGCCTTGATATCCCTGCCTTGCCTTTGAGGCCCAGACTTTTTTTTTTTTTTTTTTTTTTTTTTTGTTACTCTGGGTCTCTTCTGTTTCCAAATAAATTTCAAGAATGATTTCTCTAGTTCTGTGGTATGCTAATAGTTTTTTTATTGTTGTTGTTGTTGTTGGACTGGCCTTAAGTCTGCACAACAATTTTGTGAGTATGGCCATTTTCATTATGTTGGTTCTTCTTACACAAGAGCAAGGAATATCTTTCCATTTTATGATACTCTTTGATATCCTTTTTCATAGTACTATAGTTTTCAATGTAGAGATATTTTACCTCCATTATTAGATTCTTAAGCATTTCATTTTTTTCAATGCTATAATAAAAGATACTGTTTCCCTAATTTCTGTATCAGTGAGTTTCGTATTTGTGAACAGGAATGCTAGTGATTTGTTTTTTATTTTTTAAATTTTTGAGGCTTGATTTGCATCTATCTACACTACTGAACCTGATTATTAAATCAAGAGGTCCTTTGGTGGAATTTTTGGGATTGTCTCTGCAGAGTACTTTGTCTTGTACAAATGATGATAAACTTCTTTCTTTCCTATCTTTATTCTTTTCACTTTTCCCCTTCTCTCATTGCTCTGGGGAATGTTTCTAGAATGGTATTTAGTAGAAACAATGATATTCTTGTCTTTTCCTTGTTTTAGTGAAAGCTTTCAGCTTTTTACTATTTAGTATGATATTGGCTATTGATTTGTAATAGATGGCTTTATTCAGTTGAGATAAAGACAGTCTTTCTGTATGGTGTTTATCATGAATGGATACTAGTTTGTCAAATGCTTTTACGCATCTATTGATATGATCATGGGATTTTTGTCTTTGGCTCCATTGATATGATGTGTTACATTTATTGATCTGCATTTATTTCTGTTTTCTTGTCTGCTAATATGTGATTATTATATGTAGATGTTATACTTGAAATGTATACTTATAATTATTGCATACTCATGGTCAATTAAAACCTTAATCATCACATATTGACCTGACAAATGAGATAAATTTTAATTTTGACATTTTATTTTCTTATATAAGTAAAACTATACTTTTCTATCATTTGACTTCAAACTTGCATGACTTCTCTTATACCTCTTTCCTTTTCAGTTTGTATCTGCTAAGCTCATGTGAATCAGTAAATATTATGTAACAGAATATAGTTGGTTGTTTAGTCAACCATTCTATGTCTTTGAATTCTAGAATTTAATCTATTTATATGTAATGTAATTAATAATTGGTACTTTAATATTATTATCATGTTGGTGATTGTTTGTTTTATATTTCTTTTATTTGTTGTTTTTGTGCTAAGTTTTTTTCTAAGTTAAGGTTTTTCTTTAGTGATGTATTTTAAATCCTTTATCTTTTGTGTGTGAACTAAACTTTTTGGTTACTACTATACTTACATAAACAATATTATAATAATCTAATTTATACTAGTAATCGAGGATATTAAAAACTGTACCTATTTACCATGTTTTACATTTTAACCTAACAACTTACATCTCATATGCGTTTTGTCCATTAACAAATTGCATAACTTCATATCTTTTCATTACTTTTGTCTTTTAATGTTTATATTAGAATTGGGAAAGTTTTATAGTAATCTTACATCATTAGAGTTTACTGAAATGTGAATTTCATACTTTTGTTTATTTCTTAGTACTAAATAGAATTCTTTCAGCATGAAGAACGTTGAGATTTCTTGTAAAGCACGTTTGGTCACAGTGAATTCCTTACCTTTCATTTGGGAATGTCACTGTCTCAACTTCATTTATGAAGGACAGTCTCAACAGATGTCAGAAATCTTGAGTGACATCCTTATTTTTTTTTCTATCAAAGCATCAAAAATGTCACACTTCTCTCTCTCAGCTTTCAAAGTTTGTGCTGAAATTCACTGGTAGTCTTTTGATACTTTTCTTACATGAATTAAATGTCTTTTCTCGTGAAATGAAACCAGTTTTTTTTTAAAGTGGCCCAAAACATCCAGCCTCAGTACACCCATACTTTTCAATTTTGAGATGTATTGATAAAACTGATGTATTGGTGTATTGATAAAATGGTCCAGAACTCTTCTTTCTTGTCTTTTTTCCCCTGACATCTCACAAGATCATTATTTTCTTTGTTCCAACCAAACTTAGTAGTCCAAATATTTGGTTTCCCTGGTTGTCAAGTTTTACCTAGGAATGACAAAACCACAGCACATTCACTGTGATTCATCAGTCCACCAACACTGGTGGTCTGCCCACTAAATGGGTAACTTCACTACTGGCCAGGGGTTCATTTGTTACGTGACTTCTCATTTTTGTTATTAAACACACGAAGAATACAAACAGTACTTCTCCTCTGCATAAGCAGAAACTTATAAGAAATATTTGGACAACAGTCTGTTGAAAACATCCCTGCACTCCAGACTCAACAATGTTTGCATTTCTCAGAGCTGGAGATGCATCACAGAAGGAGGGGAAAATCTATCTTGGCTTAGCCTGGATTGATTTTTTAGGAACTGAGCTGTACCTAAGTTTCTGCCCTGTGTGTTTCGACTGAAGAGTTAACTGTGCTACTGCATGAAATTAGCCACTTCTAATGGGAGTAACATGATTTTTAGTCATTTCACATATGTAGTGCTGACCTGGGAAGCAGCTGCATCTCTATTAACAGCAGAGCTTTGAGCGAACTGTGGACAATCTCTTTAAAACAGAACCACTTAAGGTACTGAAAAATCCCTTCCAGCCGCCTTTCCATAGGTTAATGGAGCTACTTCTTTCCAGCTGTCTGACTTTTATAATCACAGATGCAAAGGATTTTAAAGTACAGCTTGATAACTGAAAATACTGGGGTCCCTTAAAAATATCATTGCTGGGACAGGGTAAAGCAATTGTATTACAAACCAAATTTGCTACTTAGAAATATTTCACTTTGTCTGTGTAATGACCCTTCTATAAAATTTGCCTCAAATAATGCACTTGGGGGAGTCTATAAAGCATTGTGGATTCTTATACTTTTGCGGTGGTGATTGATTATTTTGCAGAAGAGTAGGAATACTGTCACACAGCAGTAACCCCACATAACCAATTTGATTCTGTGAAGTTGTAGCCTCTGTGCTGCCAGAGTAGGTGCTCATAACCAAAGGCTCCAAATTAAATCAGCTCAAGACACAATCAGAATTGTTTGATTTTCAGCACATCTTTTTGATCACAATTTCCTCCACTCTTTCCGCTTCTCCACACCCTTCTCATATGAACAAAATCGGTGACCCTACTTCTTCTATCTTTTACTTTTCTCTTCATTTGTGTTATTGGTATCTTATATAAGAGAAATCATGCTGTAGTCAAGCCATGGGTCTGATTTATTTCACTTAATGTTATGGTTGCCTCCACTTTCACACAACAGCTTTATTTTCCTGTAAGGCAGAGCAGTACTCCATTGTGTATGCATAGCAAAGTTTCTTCACCTGATATAGGCTGTTACTTAGACTTGGCCAATACGAACTGTGCTGCTACAAACATGGGTAAACATGGATCACTGTAATATGATGTCACTAACTCCTTCAGAAAGATACATAGAAGAACACCTGGATGAGTCAAATGGAATTTCTAGCTTTACATATATTTTTCAATTAGTGCATGTTTGCAGTACATAACTATCATATCCATATCCAGCTCCTTGTGGTGATTAATCAATTGATTGTCACCTTGAGTGGGAATGCCCCGCTAAAGTTCTGGGAATGGAGGATCCATTCGAGGAGGACTGTAGTCTCAAAGGTATAAAGGAAAAGAGGCAAATATTTTGTGCTAGTTGCCTATGGAAAAGCCTCCCTGCTTCTGATTTCCACTCTGGCTACTCTTCTTCACAAAGCTCTGGATGTTCTCTTTGACTGAGATTCCCTCTTCACCTTTACCAGGGATGGCTGCTTCTGGCTTCTGAAGAGTTCTGGCCTTCGCCTTTGCCTTGAGCATCATCCACCGGGTCTTGTCACAGACACTCTGGCTTCCAGCACTGGCCATCAAGCTGCCAATGCAGACTCTAGCCTCCAGCATCCACCTCGGGGTTCTCAGCGCAGACCCTCCAGTCTTCCATTGCAGATTCCTTGGCTTCCTGATACAGACTCATGCTGGACATTGCCACAGGCCCTCAGCTGGATTCTTTAGCTCTCTAGTTGGACAGATCTCTTGTATTCTTCCAGATCTGACTCTGTGATAAATGTTACAAACTACTCATAAATTTCTGTATCCTGCATTAAATCTGTTCTTTTGCAAACACTGATCAACATACTGCTCTTCCCCTCCTTACTGTTAGTTTTCTTTGTTGTTGTTTGTTTCTGTTGTTGTTTTTGAGGAATCTCCTTACTGATTTCCCTAGTGCTTGTGCCAGGTTATATTCCACCAACAGTCTAGGAACATTTCTTTTGCCTTGGAAGTTTACCAGCATTTTTATTATTTGATTTCTTGATATCGGCCAATCTTTTAGGAGACAGACTCTCAAGGTTGTTTTAATTTGTATCAGGATTTGATCTAGATCTCCTAATAACACTGGTGAAATGAAAAGAAAAAATGGATGGAGAGGTTACTCAAAGAGTTAATGATGAACTAATCTTTATTTGAGAATTAGAGGCATTTACCATATTTAAAATTCTCAAAGAGAAGATTCCTGATGTTCCTAACACAGGTTCTAAATTAGTGATAATGGGAATTCTTTAAGTGAATCAGGTGTATTCATTCAACAAAATTCTACCATTATGGTAATAATAATAAATAACTTCAAATGGCATGGGTATAACACAATAGAATATTCAACATGTGTGACACAATCACAACTGCTACACATAAACATATAATCACAGGGAAACACAACTGATTAAGGTTATAAGGTACAAATGTAATTTTATTCATTTACAGTTACAAATGATTTACTCCTTTTGAAATTTTCACTGTATTTTATCAAGCTTCATGCTTTTTTGTTCAGAATAAAAATAATGTCAAGCATGAAAGGGACATTATTTCCAAGTAAAATAATTTAAGTGTAAAAAGTTTACTTTTCTATTTACAGCTCTAGCATTCTGTCTGTGAACAGCAAATATTAATAACACCCACACTTACCTTGAGGAATCACCAGAAAGTTCTATCACTGATGCCACTGGGACCCTTGAGAATACCAAACACCTGATACCACGCCTGTCTCATCAGATCAGAATCCCAAAGTTGAAGTTAACAAAGGAGTTATAAAAATAATTTGCTAACAAAAAATGCTACTGACATTTTTATAGTATTCTTCACCCTAAGTAATTAAATTTACTGTTGGTTTCAGAAGCCAAATAGACTCAACAGATATATTTCAGAAGATTCAGATTTCAGCCAAGCACAGGAAGGACTTCCCAATAATCAGTGCTCCTGAAGAGGACAGCTGGACACAGGTACTCAGTTGAAAGTAGCTGGAGCCCTTAAATGTGCAGTATGCTGGTGAGACTGAATTCTTACAGTAGGCAAAGGTTGTATTTAGATGATATGCAAAGTCCTTGCCTAGCTCTGGGATTCTGAGATCCAGAATGACAAAGCTGAGAATTTATTTGGTAAGAAAATAAGGCAGGGCCATTCACAGACTGAGGCAGGAGAGAACAAGGTTTGTATCAGCCAACAAGTCTGGGAACCAATGCCATGAATGAGCCTCCATTAGACTGGGGAAAGCCAGACCCCAGCCCCTTCTGGTGCACAGGCTGGCAAACAGAAAGTACCAATCCCCATCCCCAACCCGCCGAAAGTGATTGGCTTATCTGGAGAAACAGTCTGTGATTATAACTATTGAGGTTAAATGCAATTGGATGCCATGGTGTTTTGGTGTTTCACTAACATTGCAGGCTAGGACCAGTGGTCTATTCATTGTTTCAGAGGATAGTGCTACTCAGGGTGGCATCTGGAGGTATCTCCTTCTGAGGGTTGCGGCCATTGTTGGTTCCCTATGTCTTGTTTTGAGGTCTTATATAATTTCCATTGTTTTATTGGGTGGGATTTTATTCTCTTTTGTTTTGTTTGATTATGTTAAATCCAGTGGCAGGAGCAGCTATTTCAAGGATAGAAAAATATTATTATGGTAGCAATTTTAGACTTACTATTGGCTTGTTTTTGAAGTCCTTTATTACATTCATTGTCTTGTTTTTATTGTTTCTATTCTATTATATTCTCTTTGATTGTTACTATGTCTGAACTTATCTGCAGCTATTTTGAAGACATCGAAAGGCATTATGGTAACTATTGTTTTTGTAATGTTTGGGGTCCTGTATTTCTTACACTGGTTTGTTTTGATTGGTTTTATTCTGCTTTATCCTCTTTGAAATAAAAAAAAAGAAGGTAAGGCAGACAGAAATACCATCATAAAACAGGTGAAAAGTTTAAAGCTTATGAGTACTCAATGTCACATAATTAGACATAGGTGGAATCACTACTTTTCACATTACCACTGGGAACATCACTACTCCAATAACATGGCATATGTACATTCAGGATGCTAGCAACTTCCAAAGATTCAGGGAGACGGACACTATTATGGAAGACAGAAGGAAGCAGTAACAATGTCCGCTTCAACCTTGGGTCTTTGTGACTCGTTTACATTTTGCACAGATCATCTTCATATTTCATCTGACACAACAGTCTGTCAAGAGAAATGAACACTGCAGAGACCACAGAATAATCTTACATTCTTGTCTCACACCTGTTTAAGCTCCTTCAGAGGACTTAGAGAAGTCTATGCAGTCCTCTCAAGCATGCTGGCTAGGTCTGAGACCAGGGCTGGGAACTGGTCGGACAGGAAGGAAAAGACATGCAGATCCATTTGGCTGTAGGAAAGTTCCCTTCCCAAAGTGAGAAAATGAGTCTTTGGTACAGAAGCAGGAAACTTCTCTCAGGATCCCTACAAAACCACTGTGGTCCTTGCTATATGGCTTCTAAGGAGTACATGGGGCTTCCTGCCAAACAAATTCAGGGATACAGAGGGATCCGGGGAGGAAGCGAAGACATCTTGGCTACCCTTGGTTTCCGGCACTTTGGTCCTGAGCTGTAGCTGCTACCATTTTGCTGCAACTGCTTCTCTGCCATGCAGGGAAATCAGAGAAAACAGGAAAGAGACAAAAACAAAACAAAATAAAATAAAAGGCAAAATCAACACAAGTCATAAGTCTCAGGTAAAATAAAATCATGAGTATAGACAAAATTTGCCCATGGGGAACTGTTGTAGTGCTAGCTTGTGTAAGAGGGTGTACTGAGTATTCCAGCCTTGAGAATCAGTGGGCTCATTAGACCAAGGTTATTAACAATTAAAAATCATTCCAGTTGCCACTAACTGAGCTACCATTATGAGACAGGCTTTCTGCTGGTGCATCTTTGTGTGTGCTGGTTGGAGCCATCCTCTAGGAGGTTGGGAGAGGGCGTCTTCATTATGAGATGAGGAAGCACGCACAGATTCGCCCCAAGTAGAACCTGCGTATATCCAATGATCACTAGGGTGGCCTCAGAGCCCCAGCTCCACATCTCAACAGCCTTATCCACATACTCCAGGGGATGAAATCAATGCTTGGAAAGGACTAAAATTAAACTAACACATGTAATGAAGGCAAAACTCCAAGACCATCCCTGCCAATAGGAAGGACAATGGACCAGTGCTCCCAAGGTCCACGTGTACTCACAGAGCTTCTGGTTCAGGTAAACTTCCTGAAAACACTTCACTAGAAAAGACCAACACAGACATTGAGACAAACACACATTTGTCACCTAGGGTGAGCTAACCCTTCCTGTGCTAAGGGCTCTCACTGCATGAATTCATCACTACACTGTCATCTTCATATCCAGTACTGAAGAGGTTACATAGTTAACAGCGGGCAGCAGAAATGAAACCCTGACCAAGTCCTCTTTGCTTGGATTACAGTTTGTCTCCCCAAATCAATAGAAAGATCTTGAAACACAATGGCCAACATCACTGAAACTTGAGTCTTAGTCCCTCTGACTTAATCGGATGCCATTACAATTTTCTCTAAATGTCTTAGCCTTTAAAAACTAATTAAATGGTGCTCATAATTTTGGAAGCCAGAATCTACCTCAGTGGTCTGTTTTATTGTCCCTCATATAATTTTACTGATGTCTGCAATCACTTTTCACAAAAGTAATGCCTTCCTTTAGGAAGCAGTTACTTCTCGAAGTTTTTTAGTTTTCACATTACTGTCTCCATAGTTGTACAGAATCAATTTCGTAATCCAGGTCTCATTGGTGGAAATAAACTGCTACAAAGAAAAACAGAGATCACTTTTTAAACAAGTTGAGTCTTTGGTGCGAGAATGGGAGAGAAAATTTGGGCCACACTGCAGTTACTGGGGTAGGAAGGAGCTGTCAGTTGATGGTAACTGATGAAGGCCCGTTTCACAGACACTTTCAGTGAGGGTCTGTAATCAGCAGCCTGAGGAAGACTACAGGTTCAAAGCAAATCTGTTTTCAGAAGAATTGGACTTGAACTAGAATCCAGTCCCTCAAACTATAATGGCAAACAATTCACTGGAAGATTCACTGAGGTACAGAGATGCTAACTCTTAGGACTGCTTTACCACATATCCTGAAATAGAAAGTAATACTACCCAAGACTGTGCTACTACCCGTCAGTGGGTCTCTGCCCGTATCTAAACAGTCTCCCACTTGCAGTAACATATTCTTCTATTAATAGTAACCCACTGAGTCAATCAAAAGCTTTGCCTTCCATAGACTCTCTTAAGCTGCTTTCCTAATTAGGTTTTTCCATTAGCTGCATTTACACTTTCCAGGAGACATGGAATGGAAAACTGTTTCCTGCAAGCACTGGTCAAATCATTATAGATGTTCATTCTATATGCTTTTTATATACAACTCTTTGGACTCTGTTACAGCATCACACATTGTGTTCGAGATAAATCTCAAGTCCTCTCCTGAGATGCTTGATAAAGGATAATGTTTAAAAAAAAGCAAGATACAAGAGAAACAAACATGTAGTGAAGGGATATCATTCATTCCTCATTTGTTCTAAATGTTTAAAAACCCTCTCATCTCAGAGGATTCTTAGAGCATCTATTGGTACAGAAGATGCATTGATAATTTATTAATGAAGGTTTTGAGTGTCATCCCTAATTTTATTTTTTAACATTGCGTCCCACAGAACCTTACGAACTCAGATGACTGAGTCATAGGTATGTTATCATCAATGGATTTATCCAATAATGAATTTATAGCTCCATGTATTTTTAGGAGGTGGGGCCGGTAAGGAGAAATGAGTCCCTGGGGTGTGCCATGACAGAGCTCAATTCTCTCCCTGTCATCTTCCGCCATGTTTTGCTTCCCAGGAACCCTGCTGTGAGTAGCTTTGCTCCAACATGTTAGATCTGCTGTGGAGCCAGCGGGCAAAGGATTGCAACCAGGAGCCAACACAGCTTTTCCATGCAGTAGTGGCTTTCTGCCATAGTGTATACTGATGGGAAAGTGACCAAGGCAAACATGAAGAAGAAAACCTTGCCATGCAGAAAATATGTGTCTTATAATCTTTCAGGAGAACTAAGCGATATTAGGAGATTTCAATAAAAGGGTGTGGCAAGTGTCAGAAATGATTCCAGTAGGAGCAGACTTGGAAGATACAGCAGTCTCAGCTACAGGTGCAATTATTTAGCAGTTCCTTGGAAGAATTGCTCCTTTCCTCAATTCCTTGGAGTTGTCTCCTTTCAGGTTACAGCAGCCTTGATTTACATGGTCTTCATTTCCATTAATAATACCTACCTCACTCAGGATGCGTCTCAGAGATGGCCAGATGATACAAGGGACCAGGAGGGACAACTCTTCTCTGGGCTGCCATAAGCACAGAAATAAAGAGGGATAATTAACCTCTTGGCTTTGCTCAAGACACTGCTAGATATAAGTCTCTTCCCTCAGGGAGAACTGATGGTACCAGATCTTAGTTTTGCTCAGGATACCTTGTAGAGGACTATGTGTTTTGTATCTGATACCCAGGACTCACATTCTAGAGAACCACTTGAAATTTCTCTCCATTAGCCAAGCCTCAGTCAAGCATCAGGAGAGGAGACCTCAAATATCAGGAGTCCTGTACGGTTATCATTTATTTAAATTTTTCAAATGAAGTCATAGGCTAGATTTTATAGACTGAACATGTTACTCCCCCCCCACACACAATTTCCTATGTTGAAATTATGGCCCTCAATTGGATGATTTTGAGAAATAGAGCCTTTGGGAAAGGACTGTGCTGATGTCATGAGGGTGAAGCCCCTCATAACTGGGATTAGTGCCTTTATGAAAGAGACTCTGAGAGCTCATACTTCTTCTATCATATGAAGACACAAAAGAAGACCAACATATATAAACAGAAACAAGCCAGATACCTAAAGCAGGCCTCACCAGACACTAAATCGGTTGGCATCTTGTTCTCGGAATTCCATGCTCCAGAAAAAAATAAATTCCTGTAAGTTGTAAGCCATCCAGCATTGTTTCAACAGCCCTACTGCTGTAAGATATCACAAGAGACTGCACGCTATGAGAAGGTGTCCCCTGAAGTCAGGTGCATACATTCAAACAAACGATACACAGCACCCTCAGTGCCACTGGAGCTCCATTTCCTTGGCAGAAGACAAGCAAGGGCAACATTATGGCCCAGGGGGACAGTGCTCCTCCTTTCTAGTGACAGCTCAAAAACCTACACCCTCTAAGTACATATTGTCACTACCCAAATAAGGCCATAATTGGAAACTAGAATCAGGGACATCATCCTCTTTAATTTTTCTTTTTCCACTCCCTTCCTAGGTTCCCCAAGAGACCTGGTTATAAGCCATGTCTTTTAATTTTAATCTACATACACCCCTCTCCACTCTGAGGCTGCCAAGCCCCTTTACTTGCCTAGATTAGCTTTCTCTGTGCTCTCCTTGGCATCATTCTGAGGTTTCCACGTCTGATTTGTCCAAAGACATATCTGCTGATTTCTGAAGATAGCAGGAACACAAATACCACACCTCTGTACACAGAAAAAACATTCAAATATGTTAACAGTTTTATTACAAATATGGCAAAAAAATTCAAAATAGCGTAAGTACACATACAAATCTAAGTGAGGGGTGGACAATCTTTTTCCCTAAAGGACCACACAGGAAGCATTGTAGACTTTACAAGACACAGGGTCGCTATCACAGCTATTCACCTCTGGTGTTCAGTACAGAAACAGCATAGACAGAGACAATCACAGACAACCATAGGCAGTGTGCCGACCAATGAATGTAATTATGTTCTGTTAAAACTTTATGTAGAAGAAGCAGGTGGCAAACCCAATCTGTCCCACAGGACACATTTTGTCTGTTCTTGTGCTAGATCCCTAGCCTTACTTCCCAAAATAACTACTAACAGGTACTTATAAAACATAATCAGTAAATCATTTACCCAGCTCCAACTCACAATTTGCAGACAGATAGCAAAAATACACAGTGCTTAACTTGTCCAGGAGCTAATTTCTCAAAAGAGAAGGAAACCGTTAACTGGCTTTACATTCCCTATAAAGACCAGAAGCAACCATGTGGTTTGGGTAGCTAGGATAACATTCATTTTTTTTTTCCCTCAATGACTGGAGAGTCATAAATAAACACATGTATCCAAGTCTTTGGCAAAATAATAACCACTTCCTACTATGAATTCAAAAATCTAGTTTTCAAAAGAAGTGAAACAGCTTATTCTAGTTTGCTGCATGCCCTGATAAAACAGACAGTTACAAATATAAAGTCATCTAACTCCTTAACCACCCACATTCCAGTATAATCTCAATGTGAAACCCTGTGTGTCTGTCTGTCTGTTTTTTGTTTGTGGGCTCTCCTAGAAATTTAACCACTTGGATGAATATGGTGTCAAAAGTAAAATGCTTAAAAAACAAAAAAGAAAAGAAAGCTCTGAAATAACTCCTTGGTGAAGTCAGGAGTCACACACAGAAGGCTCTGGCCGCTAGTTAGGTCAGAAGTCTTGTGTACATCTCATGGGACCTCTACGGTACCTAGGGACAAGAAAAGCTCAGAGCTTATTTCAAATCATAAAAAAAAAAAAAAATGTTTATCAGTATATTAAAAGAGAGTCTCACGAATGCAAGAGCTATCTATATCCTGAAATCATGGTACTTTTAAAAAGCATTGAAGAATTTCAAGTACTACAAGATTTGTGATTCCCTCTGGTTCTTTGGATTTCCACGTCTCTGTCTTATTTTTTTGTGACTTGTCCTTTCTCCATCTCTCTGTATCTTACCTTCACCTTTAATCTCTTTTTTACTAGTGCCCTTACATTTAAGTAGAAGATTAATTAATGTCTTGCTTACCTCTATGATTGATAAGGCACAGGGAGAATATATGTGCTTGAATTACTACACATACATATGGACCAGTCTGTGTAGAAAAAGCAATAGGTAGAAACAGACATGCATGCATAGCAAGAGCAAGCTAATTTCTGATGTTTAAATCAAGTCATACACATATTCTTTTATGTTGAAAGGGATAATGATATCTCAGAACTGTGTGGAGTTTTACTGATGCAATGTCTCATCTCCAATTTAAAAAAAAAAAATTGATGAAAGTAGAGAAGAATCCCCTTATTGTATATTCAGAAGAAAAAACATGACTATCTTGGTGCCACTGTCATTAAAGCTAAGTACTAAGACTCAAAATTAAAGTAAAATTTTGGGTCTAATTCAGTTATCCTTAGTAATATGAAATACAGGCAAATTTATTGGTCCTTTTTCTCAGCTTTCAATTTACTTTTAGAAAAAACGCTGATGCAAATAGAAGAAACATCAGAAAATGCAACTTAGTTATAATTAAAACATTCATCAGTAATCATTGGTAACACTTTGCTGTATTTTTTAAATGGTTTACACTTTCATTTTTTTGCTTACAAAAATAGAAATGTACTCAATAAAGGTTACTGAGCTCCTGTTGGGAACCAAATGACAAATTAGGTATTTGAGATACATTAGAGAATTTAATACAGAAAAATTTCTTCCTTTATGACTTTAATTTTTGAAATTTGTGTTTTACTTTTTGTTTTGCTGTATACATTTTCTGTGCTATTACATATACTATAAACATATATGAATAATATAGATAATGGTTCTATGCTGTCTTATTCAGTTTATATTTGAGGTCATGGATTTTACTTGTTTTTGTACACCAAGAAAAGTAAAGAACTTCAAAAGGTCAGTAAAAATTTTAAAAGTGCTTAACCTGAATAAATGGTTATAAATACTGTAAGGGGCATAAAACAAAACAAAACAAAATAAATTTAAAAAGACAAAAAGAAGCTTCAGCCATTACATGAAATGGAACAGGGAGAGAGTATAACTACAGAAAGTGTAGAAATGTCCCAAAGAATATCTTATCCATATTTGGGTGCAAGTCATGATGCTTATTATCATGATTGCCATTAATACAATGATAAAATGATAACCAAGTAGTACTAATACAATAACTAAAACGTTAAAATCCCATTATGTGCCAGTCACATAATGGCATATATTTATATTAAGTGGCATATATTAAATAGATCGATCAATCTATTTAAATTATACTCCTAAATGAAGGAGTGGCATTTTGTACATGACAAAATAAGTCAAAGTTACTTTAATGAGCTAGCAAATTTTCAAGCAGTATTTCAGTCGTAAGGCATCTGTGTCTGGAGTCTTTGCTAATAACCAATACCTAGTTAGGAGACTGCACACTTTTATCTTCACAGGACATACCTTGTTTATGTAGGCGGCCAGAAAAATGGTTCCACAGAAGTTACTAACCTGGTAGGAACTACAAATCAAAATGCCTCTTTCTAGAGAAAGTTCCTTTCCAGGAAAAGCAACTTTGCCCTTTTTCTAAAATCTAGCCTAGCATGTGTTACATGTGAAGCATTGTATCTCTACTGGATGCTTCAGAGGATTTCTTCTTGTGTGCTGAATTCACACATTTCTTTAAGAGGCAGTTAAAAGCTGCAGGCTTAAACTCCCTTTAGAAAGGAAAAAAATCTCAATGTGCATACAGCATGGATGTGATTTCAGAAGGCTCCAGGATAGGAAAGCTCTTAGAAGATCCCTCTAGAGGACGATTTGTCAGTCTTTAGTTGTGGAAATTGTGCTGGAATCTTTTCAAACATGAATATTCCTTCTGATTCCTCCTAACTACTATTTCTGGAATCTAAATTCACCTACATTAAGTAGTTCAAATGTATGTATCACAGGCCCTATGTCTGAATGCTGCTTCAGTAGTCTGGGAGAAAGGCAATGGTTTCACTGTGTCTCCATGACTGCACATTACCAAAGGGAGTTTAAAATCGCACCTTCTGCTCAGAAAAAGACAGAGTGAGTCAGACGAAGAATGAAGACAGAATTTCTAAAGCAGGCTCTACACAGCCTTCTTGCCTAACAGGCAGAGATGACATATATCAGGGTCACTGTGCAAGTTACTCCTAAGAGAGGACAGAAGCCATGAAAGAAACAAATATGTCTGCCCACGGGACCTGAACAGGGAAACCCATGGACTTTCCTATGAATGCCAATGGTCTTTCCCATGACCATGTTCAATGGATTATAAGTCTCTGTCTAAAAAACTTCAAACTAAACCTATAGATAACTCAAATTTCTGCTCTGCTACTTGTTACACAAGTAATCAGCAAGCTTTTAATTCTTCCCAGTCTCCACTTCAACAATGTTAGAATGTTGTGAAAAAAATCAGGAAGGAGGAAAGACCAAATCAAATGGAAGAAGTGCAGGCACTGAGGAGTTGGAAGGCAATTTTTTATTACACAAGCTGTCAAAGCTTATGTCTGTGACGCCCAGGCCTCATGCATTTGCATTATGCATCTGTGATTGGTTCATTGTCTAGAGCTTGGATTGATGGTGTCAGTGCTACACCCACCTAGGGGTGGAGCCAGCATACAATGTAATGGCAGGAAGAAGGTGTGTCTCTCTCTCTCTCTTGCCGGTATTCACTTGCTATTTGCAGCCACCATGAACTGTGGCCCCTCCATGCCACCCTATCTTGGAGCCAACTGAGTATGGACTAACACCTCCAAAAACTGTAAGAAATAAACCTTTCCTTTCCCAACTTTGAACACCAGGTATTTTGTCTCAGCAATGAGTAAAAAGTAACTAAGACGGAAGCAGACTGGTGGAAACTGCTTTCCAAATCATCAGCCCTGCCTTGGAATTAAACAGATTTCTCTCTCTCTCTCTCTCTCTCTCTCTCTCTCTCTCTCTCTCTCTTTCTATATATATATATATATATATATATATATATATATATATATACTAGGCAGGGAGTACAAAAGGCTGATGGCAGGTTATTTTCTAGTTGATTACCTAGTGTGAGTCATATGTTGTCAGGTAGGCTTGTTCTTGGCTGATAGAGGTTTCTTTTGACACCACTGGAAGTTCAGGAGCCTGGGTGAGCAAGTAAAATCAATCATTGTCTTTAACTGAGACCATCTTTTCTTGAAGCAATTTAATACAAAATTCACTTTCTGGCTGAGTTATGTCTATTTGCAAGTTGCAACTGGCAGGCGGGTTCTCAAGGCTACCTGAGACTAAACAGGCTGGGCCTGCCTTTCCTGCTTTTCATATACTGTAAGATTGTAAATTTTAAAATTTCCATGATAAGAATGGAGATAACACCTACTTCCAAGGGACAGTGTGAGGATTCCATTACATTAACATGCTAGTATTCTGCAATGTGTTTACAAAGAACTGCTCAAAAGATCTGATGGCTTTTATTATTGCACTTAAAACTTGGCTTCTGTTGTAACACAGATGTAACATCTCACTGGACAGAGCTTCTAATGTTCAGTTAGCTTTGCCCATAAGCTCCCTGTCCCACTGTCCCCTCCAGCCCACATTTATTGCAAGAAAAACAAAAGGAATAGTTGATAAGTCCACTACAATGATGTCACCATTTAAAGTAGCATCTGCACCCACAGGCAACCTGTGGTTTGCTCAGCATTGCTGGTGCCATCTCTAGCTGGTTACCAGCAGAGCATGTGGTACCAAATTTGCTTCCTCCATGAGAGTTACTACTAGTGTGCACAAATATGCTGCTTTAAGTTTTCCAGGTGGTCTCCTGCCCCATAACAATGCTCTTTGTAATTAGTACAACAGCTGTTCATAGTCCAGCTTCCCCAGCTTTACTTGGCCCAATATTAGCAGAGAATGAACAAAAGAACTCTCCTGCCTTCCTCCTCCTGATACTTACTTCAGTAACACCAGCTAAAATTGATCTCATCTGGGAAACACATCAGAGCCTCAACACACACTGGATAAATGGATGGCAGGCATCTCACCTCAAAGTACGTCTTATCAGTACCTGTCACTGCCAAATCACCTTTTAAGGCCAATACACAACCTACAACTCAACATACACTAAGCCACTTGCCTTAAAGGCCAATGCATATAATTTACATAGGTTCTTGTGGAACTCAGACAGGGCTGTGCCCAATCTCTGCACTTTCCCCTCAGTGATGGCTATTTATAGGCAAGGGCACTGGATTCATCTAAAACATACACTATAAAAATTGTTGTGTCTCTGTCCTCAGCTTATAGTAAATCAAACGATAACAACAATTACAACCCTGAGCATGTCCTGGTGTCAGAAGATTGCTGCATTTTAAGTTTTACCCTCTTCCGCCAACAGTTGCGGCGTATTTAAATCACACTGCTCAATCATCTGTTCATCTGTTTCATCTCCTGTGAAATTGGGTGATAAGGGTTTCTATCTTTCTCATCTCTTAGGCCTGTGATCAGTAATCTGACAAAATTCTTCAAATGTCAAGCATTTTGAAAAGTGAAAAGGGACCTTACTGATCCAAAGTGGCATAAAATCATTCAGGGGATGTGTAGAAACCTTTTATGTACACGCAAACGTCCACATGTTTCCCACAGAACGTTCACATCCCTTTTTTCCTACCTACATTTTAAACTAGACACAGTTCTTTCCTTATAAACCACGCACAGTAAGATTTCACCTTTGTGTCTTGCCAACTGTCTGACCACTATCTGCATTGGATCCACGCAGAGGCAGGCCTCAGGGATGACCATTGCAAACGGCTGAGTTTAGTTTGACTACAAAAGTGCAGTTTGTCCTGTTTCTCTGCAGGAGATGCAGGTGCACCCTGCATGCCTCCTGGAAATACAGAATAACAAATCAAGATACATATTGAGATAGGCCAAGCAATTTGTTCAGATGAATTATAAAGAGAAAAGTCATTCTAGTCAGTGTTACCTGAGGATGTCTGGGGTAGATTTTGCTGTCAGAATGTTTTTTTCTGAATTATGCATAAAAAAATAAGTCAAGATAAAACTGGCAACAATACCATGATGAAACATAAATGTGCAAGTAAACAGAACCAAGTTTTCACGGAATATATTAGACAGCTTACCCACTTCTGGACAAAATACTCCATTCTCCCAATTTAAAGGGGTAGAGATTAGTTTGGGCTAACAGACTCACAGGTTTCATCCCACAGCAGTTTCTAAACTAGAAATACTTAAAGTTGTTACTTTATGGTGGATTGAATAAAGACCCTGGGGGAAGAGCAACTTGTGTGTGTGTGTGGTGAGGAGCAGATATACACCCAAGGCCATGCCTCCCTGACCCACCACACTCAGAAATACTCAGGAGGTATTTCACTGATCTGACAAATGAATTAAGTTCACAATCAAGATTGTCCAGGTGCTGGCGTGGTGGTGTATGCCTGTACTCCATTACTCAGGAGGCTGAGGCAGAAGGATTGTAGTGGGTTCCAGGCCAACCTGGGTTATGCAGTGAGTTCAAAGTCAGCTTGAATAACAGAGTGAAACCTTGTCTCAAACAAACAAACAAAAAACTAAAAATGATTATCCCAGGGACAATGCAAATATGTGTTTTTACTTCAGTTATTAATTTCTCCTAAGAGATGATAAATATCTACCTTCATCGCTTACAGGTTAAGAAATCGTAACCTTTCCCTTCCATGCATTTGCAATGATTTGCTTCCATGTGCTCCCCTTTGAAATTTCTCTGCACTGTCCACAGCTCATTTTTAAACACTGCACTTGCCACAAGCCTACACAACCACCCCAGCCTGAAGGTTCCCATCTTACCTTCAGGGTTCTGTCACTCTCATCAGCCAGAGGACACACATCTTCTCCCAACTGACCTGTCACACATGCTTCTTCATCCGATCCTGTGGCACCTCCGGTGCTCAGGAAGTATCTGCAGAACCAAAAGTGAATGAGGTAAGTTTATAAAGCTGTCTGTATCGTTCCTGGAACAAAGCTAATATTCCTTAAATGTTTGTGAGTATTAACATCATAAATAAAACACTCCAAGTATTTTATCCTTACCTCTATGGTTTTGAGTCCTTTCAAGAAATATGGAAGTTATTTCCAGAGGCAGAGATGCATCATCTTTTCTAGAAGACACAAATTAATTTCAAAAAGAGGGTTTCATTTTATTTTAGCTTATGCATTTTGTAGGGCAAATTTACATGTGCACCAGCACAAAGTTGATAGAAAACAAACTGTTCAGATTTTATGTGTTACTGAAAATATCCCGCGCCCGGCTTAAATTAAAAGCTTTCACATTTTGGCAATTTCTATAAACATATATGTATATGAACAATACCAAAAGATTGCATGAATTACATCAGCTCACTCTCAAGTCAGCATGAATCACAACGGCACCTCTGTTCATCCAAAAATTTACTTTGCAAGAACAAGATGCTCACTACTTCGAGGCTGAAAACATTAACATACTTGGTGATCACTGGGTGAGTCTTCAGATATGCTGCTGACCTTGTCATTCAAAACAGAAAGCAGGCATTGCCCCAGTTTTAAGGTAGAGAGTCAGAACAGCTGAGGTTCAGTCATAAGCCTATCTTCATATCATATGTATTTTTCTCTTTTACAGGAAAAAAAAATGCTATGTTGCACTTGCAATTTTTGCCAGGACTGAGGTCTGATCACAGAAGGGAAAAACTGTTTGCTAAAGAAAACCAATTCCATCAAAAATATAAAAAGCCAGGCAAGAAGACCTTAGCCAATTGATCACAAAACCCCGTTATCACAGCCAGTTTGAAATGAAATGTGATTTTATTAACATTGAACTATATCAACTCACAAGTCTGGATTTCAAAGTTTTTTGAGGACCTCAGGATGAGTGAGTAACAAGTGCTGATTAGAGGATGCTATTGATGTGGAGTGTGCAAGAGCATAGCGATCGCTGCTGGCTGTAACACATGGAAAAGGACATGAGTACGTTGAAATCCTTCCTTCTCATAGAGCAATAGGGCTTCCACATCCAGGATTCGCCTGTTCCCAAGCACCTCTGAAATCCAAGCAAGACAAACACTGCAGACAGAACTCAGAAGGGCTCTGCTTTCTGGGGTCTGCATTAAAACCTAGGAGGTAAGCATAGATTTTTGGAGTCAACTCAAGGCAGATTCAAATTGTATTCTGTCTTTAATGCCTCACATGGCCTTGGCTCACTTAATTACCACTTCTGAATGCCAATTTCTTGTTTGATACAGTAAAGTTGATAATCATACCATCAGAAATCACTGTGAAAATTAAGAAAGTGAGTATATGGCTTTTTATGAAACATCGGCTTAAGTTTAAATGCTAAGGTTGTACTGATACATTAGATTCAAAAGTAGCTGAAGGCAAACACTTGCATGCCAAATGCCAGGCACTCACACAGTTTGGTAAATACAGCTTTGAGGTCATCACGATGACTGAAGGTATGGATGGCAGATAACACTGTTTAGTTTATGTCTCCCTGAACAACACCGTCAAGGCGAAACATACTGGGGGCGAAAATCTGGAACACTGGAAAGGCCTTCCGCATAAAAATGTGAAGAAGAGATAATGAAACTTATCACCTACCGGGAAGAACTGTATCAGGTTCAACTGGTTGGTCTTTTGGAACCCAGTAGGAGAAAGAATAACACGTGCACTTCTCCACATAGCACAAAATATTAAACACTCACATTAACGTACAAGATGAGATCACTGCACACAAATGGGCAGCGTCAGTGAAACTCATTCCTTTAACAAAGTATCTGCACTCAGCCCAGATTGCACCTTCCGCTCAGATCTTGCAAAAGATCCCATCAAGACAGTAAGACCTTGCAGGTCTTAATAACTGGATTTAAATACTGGCTCTTAAATTTGGTGAATTGCTCTGAACGTACACACACAAACACCCACACACAGGTATACACACACAGAGGAGAAGAAAAGTTACCTCTTCAAGCAGCTGGCCCTTGAGCTTACCAAAGGACACAAGAAGAGAGGGGGGCAAGCAAAACATGTGAATTCCTGAAGGGTCAGAAGGACCACCTGAAACTCCAGGTGTCATCATTGTCCTGAGAGGTTCTTAGCCACTGCTTTTAGCTAGAGAGCTGGGTGAGTCCAAAGGAAGCGTGATGTTATGCTTAGGAATTCCAAGTGGTAATAAGTCCTAAGTTTCTGAGTTGATCTTCAGACTTGGGGTTAATGAAGCATCATCTTCAGTGATCTGCAAGAAGAAAAAGTATAGTATGCTTTCCTCCACGCTTAGATCTGTTATTCTGTTAATTAGCGCTGAGAGACATTTACCCCTCTTAGTAGATGAGGAAACACAAACTCCGATTACAACAATAACTCACCAAGGGCAAGAGACAGACAGAGAGCACTGGAACTCAGCTCAGTTTCCTTTCCATTTCACCCAGGAGCCTTCACCTAGAAGGTTTTCCCTGATTTCCATACTTTAATTTACAGAAATAACCAGACTTTGCTTCCTTTATAATAAAACTCAGACAAATGCGGTGGGACGAAACTAGTTTTACTCCTCTGAACTTGTACAAAGGACACAGAAGGCAGAGCTTGTGTCCTGAGTATTAGGGGCACAGTGCAGCCTGGACCTTCTCAGAACAGGCTGACAGCAATGACCTGGGAAGTGGCCTTATATAGCAGCTGTACTTATTTACCAAAGGAATTTCCAGTGTTTTAAAATGTCTAAAACTTTCATTTTGAAAGTGAACAGTGACCATGACTAAAGTCCATGTCCCAGGAAAGCTTTCAGACAACCCTTCTACAGATGAAGTGACAAGTGCCAGGCTGGGCTCTGTGCAGATTTTAACATAATCTCTCAAGTTTTCTACTCAAGTCTGAGGTTTCATTTTTACCATATACTGAACTGTAACATTCTGACTGCTGCTCTGTGGGCACCGTGAGAACTTTCACACACCTTTTAAATAGTTTTTAATCATGAAAAAAAAAAATTGTTTTACTTTTTGTCCATTAGAGTTTTCGGCAGTTTTAATTTCTGACAGTCCTAAATCCAGTCTTCCATCTCTGCTAGGTTCTCTGTTGTCTATCTAAAGCCCAGCAGAACTCCTGGAACTCCTGTAATAAAGTAGTCTCTTTTCCCGCAAGAAATAGACAAATTTCTAAGTGTGTTGTGCTTCCAGGACTGTCTTACAAGGGGACACTGAAAACAGTAATGCGCGCACACACACACACACACACACACACACACACACACACCGCCCCAGGAGTGCAGACACTCACTATAATTTGACTCTCAGCGCCAAAGACCAGGACTTTACCAAAAAGCAGTGAAGTCCGCAGCGGACCTCACCCCACCGCAATAACCTGTAAGTTTGTCAACTTAAGTTTACTGGAGCCTTCCAAAAGAAGCCCGCAGCAAGAAAAGGGCACCGCACCCCCCCCCCCCCTAAGCGTTTCACCGCAGCACTCCAAGTTCTTCACCCTGCTCCTGGCTTGGTCTCCTCCGCAAGCTCCAAGGGCAGGAAGCTGAGAGTTACACAGTTATGTGAAATGTGTTTTTCGGGATGCAGCTCGAATATTAGGGTCCCTGAAAGACGGAGGTGCACCCCGGAAGTCACAAGATATACGGAGGAATGGGAAATCTTTATTCTGTTTTAGCCCCATCCCCATCCGGGAGCCTCCGCCCTCCGGGCGCTGCAGCCCGCTCAGGCGCGAGCACCCCTCCCTGCGCTCCCGACCCGCCCGCCGGCGCTGCTACTCACGGCTGCCAGGCGCCAGAGGTCGGGTGTCCCGGCCCGCCGTGTGTCATCCCGACCCTCCTCCCCCGCGCAGGGCTCTGCTAGGTCCAGTCCCGGTCCTGGTCCCGGTCCCGGTGAGTTCCGGCCTCCCGAAGCCATCAGACCCAGAGACCTCTCCGGCCAGCTCCCCGTGCTGGGCGCCGGCTGCCGGGGAGTCCCGCGGAGATGGTCGGAGGAGAGAGGAGAAGAGGAGCCGGGGTGGGGGCTTGACCTAGCCGTCGCCGGCTACAGCCGGCGTTGCGCACCCCAGCTCCACCGGAGTCCCCGCGGCAGCCGGCGGAGGCGGTGCCACGCGGGCTGCGCAGTCCCGAATGCGCCCCACTCTGCACCCTGCGTGCGCGGCGCTGGCTCCTGTCCGCGTCCTGGGAGATCGAACTAGGCTAGAGTCCAGGATGGTCAGTCCCTGCTTTATTTCCGTTTATTGGCTTTCTCCATACCCAGTTCTGACTAAAACAGCCCAGCTGCGCTAGTGGCCCAGGCCTGCTGGGATCCTAGCCCAATGGCCAGAACCTGAGGTGTTCGCTCTGCCCCCGTACAGTTGACAAAGCAAGACCTTGTCTCACATCTTAAAAATAAAGAAATAAAAGTAAATGGCCTGGGGATGTGGCTCAGAGTGGAGGCTCTGGTTTCATTCCCCCAGGATCATAAATAAACTAACTGGCCTTTCACCACGCCTTCCCATAGGTTTCCTCCAAAAGGTCTAGGAGCTTCAAAAGGAGAAATAAAATGACACAAAACTATGGCTTGGAATCTTCTGCATTTTTGGCACACTATTGTAGGTGCAGTGTATGGGGAAAAAAAAAGTCCAACACTCCTAGGAAATCAGTGATCCATTGGGAACAGGTACTTATGTCAGTCATATAATGGTTGGAAACATGCTTTGTTTTCCTATAGCCATTCCCACTCATACCCCTGCACTTTGCTGAAATGTCCTCAGCGGTCTCCTAGGGAACTTGGCACAAGTTTGTCAGTCTTCTGTTTATGCACAAGGTGCTCACCACGAATCTGCTATAGACTGGTAGGGAATCACCATGCTTGTCAGTGATAGGAATGGAGCAGAGTGCCACTGAGGAACACCCTGCAAAAATAAGGGGGAAAGGCCCTTTAAAATAGTCAGCATGGCATACTGTTGCTTTCAAAAGGATTGCTTAGATTACCAGATGTAGATGTGTAAAATTGATCTAATCGTATGAGTATTAACTGTTCTTTTCCAAAAAAAACAAAAAAACAAACAAAAAACAAAACAAAACAAAACAAAACAAAACAAAAACTCAGTGTAGTCATTTTAGTTACGTATACGTTGTGCAGTATCACAATCATCATTAAATTCCTATCATTCTGTTTTGAAAACCTATACTATTATTGTTTTGGGTTTGTTGTTGTTTGTCTCTTTTGCTTTTTGCTTTAATTTTCTGTGTCTTTTTTCTCTTTAATAAATAATTGCGTCATGAAAGACAAGGATTTTAAGAACAGACCAGGTTAAAAGAGAATGAGAGAACAAGAAGAGGAGTCATGAGATCCTGGGTTAGATGACAGACTGGGGAAATGACAACAGTAGGTCATATGGTCTCTAAGTTACTTGGCCCTGTTATGTCACCTTTTATCGCCTAGATTTTATAATATATTGTATTTGTGCAGGATGTTTATATTTGTGCAAGATGAACACAATACATAAAAATTATTTTTGTAACTTTGGGTGTTCCGATGTCATTATAAAATGAAAATGGAAAACAATTTTGGTAAGTTAAAAATAGTATAAAAATTTAATTGCACGACATTTAAAATCCTTTCTGAGCCTAAAATTCGTAAATCGTTGGCCTTCCAGACATGTCTTCTGGTGCTGTTCTTTTAAAGTGTGAGTAAAAATTTTAGGGAGAAAAAGTGAAAATTGCAATTTTTAAAAAAAATGGGAAAATATTCAGGGTTTTATTCCCTTTATTGTTTTTACATTAGATTTTACTGGTACATTTTAGATATACATAATAAAATGTCTTAAGTTTCTCTCATAGTTCTTCTAATAGTCTTATATTAAACTGATAACACTTTTGTGTGAGCATGGGATCAAGCTGAAAATTGCAAATTTAACTATAACAATAAAAGAAGTTTCCTTAGAAACTTATTTTAGAAGTTTCCTTAGAAACTTCTTTGAAAACTACAATCCCTGAGACTGATGGGAGCACTTTGAGGACAAGGACTCTTTAATAAGCTGCTTTTGCTAGCTTACCTAAGGGAAAGCTTCATTATGTGAGGTCTTTCAGAGGATGTGTTTTGGAGAAGCATTTCAAGCTCTTCTAGGGAACAGCCTAAAACAAGAGCAAATACAACCACAGTGATCTCAGCCTTTCATTTTCATGTTACCATGATTGAGTGTCCTCAATGGTCAGTTGGCCGCTTCTGTTTTTGATAAGCCTGAAAGACCCTCGCCATCTTTTGTGGTTTGCATCTAAGATGATCCTCAAAGCTTTATTGTTTGGGAGGTGATAGGATTATGGGAGTCATAGCTGACTATTAAGAACAAGGTCTAGTTGGTCAAGGTGGGTCATGGAGTGCGTGACCTGGAAGAGTGTATTTCCTCCACGGCTTTGCCCTTCACTATCTGCCATGCTGTGAAAAGCTTTCCTCTGCCTGGGACACTGCTACTGGAATTCCTGCCATGAAGTCTACCAGCTGTGGGCTAAATACATGAGCCTAGATAAACGTCCCCTTTCAAGTTTGAGCATCCAGTGTTGTATCCCAGTGACGTGAAAAGGACTCACACTCCACCCTTTCTCTGAGGTTTGTATCCCACTAGTGAAGCAGCAGGCTGGGCTGGCTAATTGTGTTCTATAAACTCGAGAAAGAATCCAGGCCTTTAAACTGTGATTTGCTTTCAAATCACAAGTTCTACTCATTAAAGCCTAGAATAACTCATTCTCTCTCTTTACACAAAGCTTTCAGAGATTTGCAGAATAATAATTCAATGTCTTTTCTACAAGTTTTATAAAAACTCCTTTCTGTACAGGATGAGAGTATGAAAATTATTCCAGGGGTAGGAATCCTGATTCAAACACCAAAATACAAATAAGTCCTCAGATATTGCACCTTACTTAAAAGATATTTTTAAAAAATACATGAGAAGCACATTCAATAAATGAAAATATAAGGTACTATATTTCATTAACTTTAAATTGTCTTCAAATGTCCCCATTAAATACATGAAAAGACAAGATAATGATAAAAGAAAATATTTTCAAACCATAGAGCTGATGTAAGATTTGTACTTGGCATACTGAAAAACAGGCATCACTCAATAATGTTAAGAGAGTTGAATTAAAAATAAACACGGGTTTAAATTTATGTGTATGTACATATAAGCAGATACAAAAATGATTAAACCCACAACAAATGATGAACACCGTACCAATAATTATAGAAAGAAATTGGTATTAAATCCACAAGAGAAACTATTATTCACTCATTGAAATGCCTGTTACTTTTAAAGCAAGTAGTAGCAAGTTTTGTTGACAATGTAGAGAAACCAAAATTACTGAGACATGTTTCTTCTGGGAATGTAAAACTGTAAGGCTGCTTTAGGGAAAAAATGACTTTTTCTTTAGAAATTAAGCATAATTTTGCTGTGCAGTACAGCAATTCTTCTAGATATCTACTTCTGAAAAATAGAATGCATGGGTACAAGACAACTATATGCAAACTGCCCATAGACAACTTATGCATAATAGCAGAAGTCACCCAGAATGTTGAATGGTGAATGGCTAGACAAAATATGCCATATTAATATAATATATAAATATTCAGTAAAAAATGAAATAATGATTAAAAATAAGATAACTAAAATTCTTTCACCTGATAAAGGATGTGAAAAAGTCAGGGGTTGATATTGAAAGATTTAATGCAGTATGGGTAAATATAAAAATAATACACCTCAGTGAAAGATTTAAGACAAAAAACTCTGTATGTGTTGGTTCCACTTACAAGAAATGCTTAGAAAAGCAAATATGGCAGAAAGTTGATCACCATTTACCTACACTTTGAGGTCAGAGTGGGGATCAAGAATAAAGGTGAATATGTGGACTTTTAGAAATAATAACGAAGTTAGAGAAATAGAATGTGGTAACTTCACAATGAAATGAATTTAGTAAAATAACTGAACTAGACACTTTTAATGTATGAACGTTGTGGTATCTAAATTCTACATTAAAGAAAGTGCTTGAAAAATATCCTGCTAAACTAACTGTCAGCAAAGTGAAGAACATAAATATTACTATTTCTCATAGTCTAGAAAATGTGTTGTCAGCATACAGAAAGGGCAAAATACTTACAGAGGTCATATCTGAGAAATATCTTCAAATGGGCAGTAAAACATAAGTAAAATGAGTTCAAAACTTATTTAAAGACTAGTAACATAGAGAAAGAGACAAGAAACTAAAGAAAATAAGCTCAGAATCAGCAGTGATTAGAAAATGCAAAATAAAACTGAGACAATGTTCCCACTTCCATGTCAAAATTAGAAAAATATGAGAAATAAAATGTAGACAAAAATATAATGTTTAATATTAAAGGAATACAGCAAAAATAACTTTCCCTATGCATTGGCAGAATAAATTGTTAGCCATTACTTTGTAAAGGTTATTAAAATACGAGCAAGATCTAAATGTGTATAGCCTCCCATTCATAAATTATACTTCTAGTTATATATCCATCATCAGTGAGACTCTCACACACTCCTTTGAAATTTATTAGACACGCATCTGATCAGATCTATCATGATGAGCAAGTCTTTTTCTGCTTTTCCAAATCTTATAAGAGTTTTGAATGTAAAATAGACATTCTGGAATAAATATCTCTTTTGTACAATAAAAGTAAATTTAGAATAGGGATTTAAAAAGGAAAACAGAAATTGTTGGTTGAACAAGATTTTTTCAAGCACTTCATTTAGTATCTTTTCTCCCTAATCGGTTCTATTTTTCCTTCATGGTTATATATGCACTAAAGCCACCATTCCTTTTTAGCTACTTTCCCAATTATTGCAGGTATCTAAAAATTTCTTGTGTAATCAAGTTACAGAAGAGAATGGTGAAACAATGTAAATGTCAATCTATGCATGTATATGTGTATACTTTTGTGTATACACATAATACATTGGACTTTATGTTCACACAAACAACATCATTTTCAAAGTACCCATAGGTATTAACATGAAAGTTAAATAAAATGCACATCATGAACTACTAGAAGTGTTTATGAATAATTTATTAGATTTCCAAAATACTGACAGTGAAGTTTTAGCATACATTAGCATCCCATGGAAATAGTCTTGAAATGTCCTAACCTATATTACTTCTATCACTGCATCTATGGCTCTTGAAATAAACTGTCCTCAACAAACCCTTGCAATGATCTAAATACTAAATCTGGTTGAAAGGAACTTGATACACTGAGTTCACATGCCTGACTTGGAAAGGCACAAATGAAGAACCCAGAGAGGCCAAATTGTTCATGATAATTTCTTTAGAATCACCAACTGGAAGATGAGCAGCAAAAGCAGTGGCTATGTTTTCAAACATTTCTCTTCTCACTCTACTTTTCAAAGAATCTATCTAATTATCCAAAAAA